CTTCATCCGTGATGGACAGTATGAGTATTATCTGAAATATCCTTATCCAAACAAAATAAGCATGTTTGTTTTGGCATATGCAACAATGAAATTGCTCTGCATAATCAAAATTCAACGTCGCCAGAGGTGAACAGGCGAAACATCACAATACGGGATCGTATGCAGGGACACTGTAAAAGTATTCCCCTGCACCTTTGAATAATTGCAAAGCCTTGTTGAGTAATATTGGGTAAAGGCGGAAAAGATATTAGGCAATCCTAAGTTATTTCGACTCTAAATAAGGAGGGAAACAGTTGGATCAAAGTCTGCATTAAATTTTCTGAAGTTCGTTGTGATCATTCCATCATGCTCTGAAACTAATCCTTGAACAACGAATCTAATTTCTCAAGAATCACTTGTGGAGAAGGAAAACACGGATAAATTTTTCAAATGGTCCATTTTTGCAAAATAGAGGTGACAAAGCTTCTAAACTTGCCATTCAAGTCGACTTTACTATGCTTACAATGTCTAATCATAAAATTGTAGAATTGCCTAGTGTCCTGACGCTAACTTCACAGTTCTCACATCTAGTTTTAACTTGGGCAATGTGAAAAAAGACACATTATGAAGGTACACTTGAACGGCAGAGCATTTGCACAGCAAATTTTCGTGAGTGGTCAGCAGTGTCGGGTCTGACGTTTTAGATGTTTATTTGACGGGTGAAATGGTGCTGAACAATGAAATTAATAAATAATACAATCAACAGAGACAACCAGTGCGATGTTCACTTTTTATACAATTATTACGAGTGCTGTTAGTAGTACTCTGTCGTTTACAGATGTAGGTGACCAAACAAAATGGACGCACGTTATATACGACATTTCGCGTTTCATCTGTCGCTGCAGAATTAACGATAAGTGTCGCATCAGTCAATTCATCATCCAAGTGGAAGCCAGTCGCCTGACAGCTAAGATAATACTGCGAGGTCAGACATTACTTACTGTGCCTACAGCCTCGGTTGAAATTTTTGCCATAGAAAACTCAAGACCTACCACGCTTTTCTCATAATGCACCAGTTATCGAATATTGCCATCAAATAATATCAACGGAACGGCAGAGTTTCAGAACAAAATAAAAATACGTTGGGATGGACAAGGTTTATGACAGGCTTCGTACTATTCAATGTATATCAAGTTTTATACATATGAAACAAAACGTCGTCATACAGAAAGCGACTTCTATTTGCATGGCCAAAACTTTTTCAATCACCTCTAACACACACTAGAAATTTCAAAATATATGCCGCAAGGCGTACGAAGCTTCACGAATTAAAATCCTGTGTTCAAGATGTAAAGACCAAAAGAGCGTATGCTTACTGTGGCAGTAAATCAATCAACCAACCGATCAATCAATCAGATAAACAATCGAACAATCAAGTAATTAAAAAGGGTAACAGGAAAACAGTTTATAAATGAATTCATAACTACATATAGTTAACCAGCAGTTCATTTTTGATCCAGACCGAGTCTTTGAATCTGCGCTAGTACGTCCTGCGGAACTTCGAGGGTTTTTGTCAGAGCTTGCAGTGATTCCCTCGACTTGCGAGTCAAATTCAACTGTTCCTAAAAAAAATTAAGGCACGTCAGCAGTCGCCACGTAGCTAAAAATGGCATCGCGTACTGAAAGTACTTATAAAGCAAAACGGCACGCCCTTAACAAGGATTAAGTTGAACTTTAAATTCACTTCATGCACTGTACGCAGAGAAATCGTTGTCAGGTCCTGCAATCAATATCGCTACTTTTAAAATGACCTGCGATGTTTCGTCCTAGTACACTAGCATTGACTAGCTTCAAAGGCTTTGTTCCCTAACCTGCTGTGGTTCATTCGCTTTCAATGACTAAGGCACCTCACACGTGATCTGCAACTGTTGGTTACCTTGGAATCATATCCTTAAGTTTTAGTTACTCGGAAATCCCATTTGACGGTGGAAGTAAACATTGTAGCTTTAGCCGCTTCTAGTATCTTATGAGTTTTCTCTGTATAAATGTTCATCATAAAACAGAACGCTCAAAGTACTAGCTTTACAGACGAGCACTTTCGTCCCAAGAATTACATCTGTCTGATGACTCATTTATGTCTCTTAATTAGATCATTCTTGAAATCAATACTGATGTAGGACTATAGATTTTATATCAGTCACTGACAGAACCAGTTAAATGTTTATTGACACACACACACGGGTACGACACATAAACGCATAACCATTACGGACTAAGGAATTTCTGTTTTACACTATGTCCTTTGCTCTATACTTTGACAGCATCGCCAACATCGAATACACCATCGGAAATACGATGCGGCTGTTAATTTAAAACATTTTCATCACGAACTTACATTTTACACCTATTCAAACATATACAAACGTATATGCATCGGTTAATTCACAGATAACTATTAATATATGCCGAGGAGAGAGGGTAGGCTCCGGCTACAACACCGACAGAAGTTGAGGACCGCATCATAGGGTGAAG